CAAAATGGCTACGTTCCGATACTTGGAGGAGAAATTATTGGAGCGACTAAAGGGGTGAAAGCAAAGGACTTTGTCCTGGGCGGCAACGGAAAAACTAATTAAATTTATAACTTTGGCTCTACCCCTGCATGTTATGTCGTGTTTTCGATTACCTCTCTCCCTTTGGATAAGCATGTGGCACGGTTCTGGCGGGGTGCTGATGAGGGTCATCCTAAGGTGAGGTGGGTGTCCTAGCGCAATATGTGCAGGAGCAAACATGATGGCGGGATGGGGTTTCATCGGTTTGAGCATTTGAATTAAGCTCCTCAATGAACCTCATTCCCTCCTTACCCCAGGAATATAAAGGGAAATATTTTCCTCAAGGAAATTTCCTGGGCTCGACAGCTAGGTCCCGCCCTTCTAGGGGGTGGCAGAGTATCCTGTTTGGGCGCCAGTTGCTGGAGATGGGGTTAAGATGGCAGATTGGCAATGGCCAAATGGCATCTCTCCACTCTAACTGGATCCCTGGGCTCCATCTGGATCCCCCTAACTACAACCCGCGGATCTTGCCAGATGGTGGTGACCCCTCGGTGGCGGAGGTTATTTGTCCGGGGAAGGGGCGATGGTCAGATGATAAGCTTAGTCAATGGTTTGACCCGCCTATCTGCCGTGCCATCAAGGCTATTCCACTCCCGCGATTTAATGTGGCTGATAAACTTATTTGGCATAACACAGCGGACGGGTTTTTCTCGGTTAAATCAGCTTACCATTTGGCTGTTGAGTTGAACAGAAGGAGGGGTGGGTAGTGATCCTCGGTGAGTTGGATGGATAAGCCAAGTTGGATCCGTTTGTGGGAGGCTAAGATTCCTTTGAAGATGAAAGTCTTTGTCTGGCAAATTCTTAATCGGGCTCTACCGACTACTGAAGCGCTCGTTGGAAAAAAGATAGAAAATGCATATTTCAAAAGGTTAAAGGTTGGGGTTCCAAATCTTCCTTGAGCGTTCAGCCTATTATCCCTAGAGTAACTTTTATCCGTTGAGCGACAGCCCTTCCACTCGGCACCGTCCATAGGTGTGGGCAATTCATATGTTGAGTTTAACTGAAATATCCGTGGGATCTATTCACCTACATTCTGAAAGATACCTGGGAAGACTGTATACACGGTATGTTGCGAAAAGTATGTTAGGCGAAAAAGTCCCATACTTGAATAAGTACCTATAAAACCTTTAAGTAGAGTGAGTTTACGAAACTTCAACTTATCTTTCTGATAAGGTCCATGTGCTCTCTCGGTATTCGGTCTGCTGGGATAGTCTGGAGACGATGGGACATATGTTTCTTTATTGCCCGGTTGCACGGGCTCTCTGGGATTATTCAGGACTGGAGTACTTGGGGGAAGGCTTTCCTCGACACACCTTTCTGTTGTTTCTCAAAAGGTTGTTGGCGCTGATCCATCGACTGTCATTGTTTATGGCTGTGATTGCCATCCTTTGGCGGATCTGGAGGTCTCGTAACTGGGTTGTCTTTGAAGGCAAACAGTTTGGGATCCCTGGGTTAATGCGTCAATTTTACCAACAGTATGAGGAATGGGTGGGTTTTTCAATTGAACACGTTCCTAGGGTGTCTCTTCCGTTGGCGCAGCCTGTGATCCAAGTGGGGGAGCCTAGTATGGTTTGAATGTGGGATGGGGCCACTAGAAGTTGGTCGCATTCGGCTGGTGGGATGGTCCTTGTGGATCCGGCAGGGATGACCCTTTTGGCTAAGGGGGTTCAGTTTCCTCAGATTGACGAGCGTGTAGTGCTGGAATTACTAGTCCTTCGGGAGGCTATTCTTTGGTGTTTGGGGTGTGGCTTGTCAACAGTCCGGTTTGAGGGCGACGCGAAAGTGATTACTAATAAAGTTAATCAAGCCGACATGAGTGATAACCGGTTGGGTGTTGTGTACGTGGGAGGAGATATGTCATTATTTTCGTGCCCATCCGGGATTTAATGTGCGATTTATAGGTCGAGAGAACAATAGGGTAGCTCACTCGGTAGCTAGAAAAGCCCTCTCTTTGTATCCGACTGTAGGTCGCTTCTTTGATTTTCGGGCTTGGCTGGTATCCAGGATGTAATTATCTATTTGTTTGGATCAATATATGATATCTATTGAAAAAAAAAACAACCACTACCACTTTGAAAAACACTACCATTGCACAAAACACCAATACCATTTCACAAAACACCAATACCATTGCAGACTTAATCAAAACCAAAACATAAAAATTAATACCATTACATGATAATCAATATCAATCCATTATGAAAATCAAACAATACCATTGCAGAAATAAATCAATACCATTATGAAAAATAAAACTATACCATTTCATAAAACGAAACAAAAAAAACCATTACCAAAACAATAAAAATTCTGATCAGAGCCTCTCCTGTGCACCTAGAGAGAGAGAGAGAGAGAGAGAGAAAGAGGAGATCATGCGAGGGAGAGGAGGGAAGGCGGGGTGGGTAGTTGGGTGGGGAAGAGGATGACGGGAGGGAGAGGAGGAGGGCGGCGGAGGAAAGGCGGGGTGGGGCGGCGGGAGGTAGCGGGTGGGGAGGAGGGCGATTGGAGGTAGCGAGTAGTGTGAGGCGGAGGAAGTAGGGGAGGGAAGAGGGACGAGGAGAGGGAGAAGAGTTGCAGTAGGATTAGGGTTTGGGTATAATATATAGAGTAATCAGGTGTGATATATTTTTCATTTCCAAAATTACCCTTAATCTCATCTTCACCGTTAATTTAAAAATAATGAAAAATAGAGATAACAAATGGTTTAGATTTTGGTAGCCATCGTGATTACTAAAAATTAAGTAACCATGCTAACCTATTCCAAGTTAAAAGAATGAGACTTTGGTGCATAACCTCCTTTAAGTGCTGCAATGGCGGCTATTTTCAATCTCCCACAAATTTAACGGGAATATCTTCATCGAACTTTGGTTTTAATTTTTTTTTTTTGGTGAAACAAATCATATTTGTTAAAATATAGCAAAGAAAAGTTCAAAAAGGCTAATACGAATAATTTTACAAGAAATAGAACATCAAAGGAAATAGTACTTTGGTAACAATCTATCTCACTATTCCATTCTTCTTAACTTCAAATTCATTCATTCTAGATATAAAAAAAAAAACATACCCATTGAAACATAAAGTTTTTGAATAAATAAGTATCTCAATTGCTGTCATTTTATAAATTCAAGATCAAGCCCCAAATTATGAAAATAATTATTGAATATAACTTTATAGTTTTGAATCGCGAGGGAGTTAGATTTTTGGAACATATATTGAGAAACTATTCAAAGATGGTGAATGAGATGACATTTGTCTCCTCAGTCATTATCTCCTACAAACTGGGGAATGAAGTTGAATGTTTGCATTAAGCTCCACGAGTAACACATCGCGAATCCATATGTGAGTACACCATTTTGAAGAGAAGGAATGATGAGGAATAGTAATTTAGAAAAAGCTAATGACATGGACGAGCTAAATTTATTTCTCAAAAATGGTGTTTCACAATTGCAAAAAGTTTCACTTAAATTTTTCTTGCAGTGAAATGTTGGAGAAGAAGAAAGAGGATACTTTTGGTGGAGTGGATTCAATAATGAAGATAATGACGTCGTTGAGAAGAAGAAAAAGATTATTGATGGTGGATATATAAATTCCAATGATTGGAAGAAAGAGCGAATAGTTGATAATATTTATCACTTGAGATAACTTTTAGTCGCTTGAAATTGATATTCCACATTTCGAAACATTTTGACAATTAAAGTTTGTTTTTTAATAATGCATGAGAAAAGGAAGAGACTATTGATGCATTGTGAATATAAAGGTCTCATCAGGAAAGATGAAGTCGCGTGAAGAAGATGATTTCTTACAAAAAAATCCAAAAGAAAACTTGAAGTAATTTCTTACATTGAAGAGTAAATTGACGTGAGTTGATTACTATTTTATAGGTTCCCTTCCAGATGAGGAGACACAATCTCTTACCCACTAGTGTGGCAAAGATTTCTGAGACTGAGGAAGGTTATCAGTATATGCATCATGCACCATTTTAGCGTACTCTTCAACTCGATCCGCTGTCTAGTCATCGGTTGTGATGGGACGAAGAAACTTGACTGTTATAGGGGTCGGTCTAAGGCGCAAGCTTCCTTTCCTCCATGCTTCATGGGTACCTGTAAGTACCATCGAAACTATGGGCAACCGAGTCTGCAATGCCAAATGAACGAAGCCCTGCATACCCAGGCAGATAATTTTTGGAAGAAAGTTATGATTCAAGTCGATGATTGAACAATGTGGGTGAGTTAGTTGGAATAATGGGGATGAAATAGAAACTTTTCTTACCTTCTTGAAAGGGAGGAGTCACCCATCTTTGGACCTAGTGCCCTCAGGGAAAATGATGAGTGAAAAGTTGTTCTTAAGAACAGCACAAGCCACCTAAAGCAGGATAGATAGATAGTTTAAGCAATGCATCACAAATTGCAGCCAACATGAGCGTATAACATTGGTACCATAACTCGAGTTGTTAGGAGAGGTTCAATTATGGATCATATATCATTTGCTAACACAGTCATTCAAATGAAAGAAGACTCATATGATCTTGAAGTTTTCATAGGTCGAGATGCCATGTGTTTAACAGAACATATGGAAATCATCGGAATTCAAACAGAAGATCTCTCGGTCACAGAAAGTTATGATACTAAGTCAAGAACCAGGTGATCTCAATAATTCAATTTGTTGGGCGAGATTCAATTATGGATCATATACCATTTATCAACAAATAGATGATCATCTAAAGCATTGAAATAGTGTGGTTGTTGGACTTCTACCTGTTTCAGTGACTGAACAGCAGCAGCTGGGTTCGAACGGTCTATCCGAAGGTGGTTGGCCAATACATAGAGCTGGCCAAAGAGAGGGTACCATATAATCTTCCCAAATCAATAGTAGACATGCAACATCAATATTATGCAACTACAAACTTAACTAGATCATGTGGGTTAATATTGTGACAGAGCTGTTTTGGTGATAAGAGTCGAGACCTCTTTCTCTGCAATGCCAACTGTGTCGGTGGTAATCAACCACATCATCAAGAGAATGTCAATAGGAGATGCGTGGTTGCTGATGTAAATAGCCCTTTGATTTGAGAACTCAGCTCCTTCAATCTTCACTTCATTCCCCACTATCCACATCTGCAGCAACAAACGGGCACCACCTGAAAAGTGACTGCATAATGGAGTTTTTGACAAACTAAAGGCTAATAATGCAGTCACCAACATGGTAAAGATTGCCAAGAAAGTGCCAATGAAATCAAAGCAAACCTGACAACAGAAAGTAGTAAAGAGGGAGAAAAGAGAAGAATAGAAAATAAACAGCTTGCTTTCTGCTGTTTACCCACCCACCCACCAAAACCTCAAATCTGATTATGATATGGAGATCCGATCAATCAGGAAAAGAAAACAAGGCAAAGAAAAACTCAGCATCAATCGGCCAGTGACATGTCCATAAATATTTCCTTGCCTAATCCTCTCACAAGGCCAAGGCAGGAGCAAGACCATGATGATAGCCCAAATGGATGTTGTAACCATCATGACCACGAAACAAGTCACAATCCTAACAAAGGAGATCAACTCTGCCACCCAACCACCATCCTTGAACACAAAAGCTTTAACAGCTTCTGGATTCTTCAACTCTTCCTTCACAACAAATTCGTGGTTTTCTTCTTCAACGTTTGGAGAGGAGTTGGTATTAAGAAAGCTCTCCAAACTCCTACTACTCCTCATGAAAGAACCTCCTCCCGCCCTTTCCATGACTACTTAGTAATCAAAAGCCTGGTTGTAATTTCCCCTTTTTTCCCTACCCAGCTAATTGTTGCTATTGCAGAGAGGAACCCCGCAATTAAGAAGTAGAAGCAAACACAGGTCATTAGCTTTGACTTATGACAGTCGCCAAACTGAAAGGTTTCCTGAAACTTCCCAAGCTTAACCAAAATGGGTAATGTTAGAAATCGAACAGGAAAAATTAGGGTTACCGAATCTGGCTGAGTCGCGGACTAGGTCGCTCTCTTTAAGACGTTCGCGGCACTGCCTTCGTTGCGCACGGCAGACTATCAGCCGGTCGCCTCCAGGATAAAACAGCCACTCATTAAATTTGCTCAGCGGTTTTGTGCGGAAACCGGAGCTCTCTGAATTTCACTCTCTCTCGTGTTTCTGCTCTCTGAGGTGTGTTTAGAGGGTCTAGGGGTCTGCTATTTATAGGAGCAGAAAACCTAGAATATTCCCTCTTTCTTTGGGAATAAGCCACATTTTAATTAGGAAGATAATTACTTCCATAATTAAAATATATTATATTAAGATAATTAATCCTAATTATCTCCATAATATTCTTTTTATTAATTATCCTTCCTATTTTCGTATCTAGAAAGAATACGAGATAATTAATTCAATATAGCTTTCAAAGCTATTCATTCCCAACAATCCCCCACTTGAATAGTTTTGAAACTATCTCTGAGCATCAACAGATCCATAAGATCGGGCATAAGCTAAGGTATCGCGAAGATTTGAACCTTAGCGTAGTGGTTACACTTCCGATTTCATAAGGGTGACTCGTAGTCTTGAACCCTATCTCAGACAATGTAGCACACCGGATCTTTTCATTGAGTGATATTCTCTCATAGGCCGTGCGTTTATGGCCATGCACGTTATCCCGGTTTAGTGAACGCTCTAGCAACTTTGTGCCTCCAAAGTTCCATAGGGAGCGGCCCCACTCCCACATTCACATAGGTGAGTCTATCAGAAGTACCCCCAAAGTAAAGTACTTCACTCCACATAGAGTATAGATCTCATTAAGAGTTGAACTCAACCTCCAAGGCTTTGGGATTCATGCTTCACTCTGCATGAACTTTTCTCAATATTACTCATGACTTGTTATTACCCATTGAACCCGTTTCTTGGGATCTCCAGTCTATCGGTTCGGGTTACCATCACTTGTAATCCGTGGTTCGGTAGGCATAAGTCCCATACCCTTGGCGGTATTTTGGACTTTCTCTCTAGATAATCCTTTCGTCAAAGGATCAACTAGATTCTGTTAGGACCTTACAGGATCCACCCTCATTGCTCCTATCGTTGGGAGTTCTCTTACAGTACTGTGCTTACGACAAATTTGTCGTCTCTTTTCATTCTAGAACCGGTTCCCTTCTTTAGTAATAGCTGCGGTGCTATCACAATGAATCAACTACCGGAGGGATCGGTCTTCCCATAAGGGAATCTCTAGTAGTGACCCTCTCAATCAACTTTCCTCTTTACTAGCCATTGCTAGTTCTATCATTTTCGTTTTCTTAGTTGATTGAGCCAGGATCGTTTACTTCTTAGACTTCCACGACATAGCTTCTCTATCGATGTTTAAAACACATCCTCTTGTTGTCTTGGAGTCCTCTATAGGGTATTCTAATCCGCATCACTATACCCTACCAATACAGCAAAACCTTTGATAACAAATACCAAGGTTTTTTTTACTGTTCTTTTAAGGTGTCTCATGACCCCTTTCAATAGCATTTCAATGCTTCATACTAGGACAATTAGTAAGCCTGCCAAGACCCCCACTAAATCGGGTCTCATATTTATCAGTTGCCTCTCGCAGGCTGTAAATGCTAGTATATTCTAACTTTCTTACACCGTCTTAGGTGTTCTTTAAATATTTATACTAGCATCATCAAACATGTATGCAGGTGTACATCTTGTACTTTCCTAGTTATTAGGATCTCTAAGCATAGCATTTGTTTCATTCAGATCCTTCACATTCAAAATTCTCAACCATCATGGTTTTTCAATATTGACATTACGAGTCTTTGTACCAAAGACCGACGTGTCATTCATAATGCAAGTGTCATTCTCAAATTTGTACTAAATGCACTTGTCACTTTCACTTTTAAAACCATGTGAGAGAACCAGTTTATTCATGCCATCGTCTTAGAGTCTATTTCAAATCTTAAATGATTTGTCTAACTATAGACTACCTAAGCATGTTTAGCAATAAAAACCCTATAGGTTGTCCCATGTAGATTTTCCTATCTAAATCACCATTCATAGAAACATGTTTAACAATCCATCTGACGCACAACACTAGCAATCAGAACATACATGGATGTTATTCTACATATGGTGAATAGATAACAAGAAAATTTACAATTTTTCCTTTTCGCTTAAAGCCTTAGCTATTAGGCGATCCTTATACTCATAAACTAAACCAATAGGTTTCACTTTTCTTTTAAGAATCCATTTATTACCCATGACTTCATTGCCAAGAGGTAATTCTCAAAGATGCAAAATCTTGTTCGATTCTATCGATATATTACCCAAGGCTTTTCAACCAAGAGGTAACTCTACAAGATTTTAAGTCTTATTAGACTCCAATAATTCCATTTTGTTAATAATGGATTCTCCCACAATTCTGCATCTTTATGGAAGTTCAAACTTCTAGCAGACTTGTAGGATCTTTCTTTCTTAGGGTGTAAATAACAAATTCATAACCAAAATCCTTTCGTGATTTATGGTTCATTTGTCTCTTCTGAGTTCATACTCAGATTCATCACCCCCACTAGTTATCCATTATTTCTAATAGTAGGCAGGACACTACCCCCACTATTTCTTGATTTAAAATGAAAGTTTCTTTGCATTAATGGATTTCACAACAACATGAGTATTTCGTTTCATAAGCTTCTGTGTTTTACAATAACTTACACACTCATATGCTCTTCTAGTTATCATGTCACTGATTCTCTAATGCTACCACATGCATGCCACATATCGAATAAACAGTGCAATCATAATGCAACTAGGCATTTCAAACTATTTCGAATGACTAGTTAGAGCACTCTAAAGAGCAATAAATTATTTATTGTCTTTTCCATCAAGTTTACCCATATCAACATAAATCCGATCTATTGATTCTGATTCTCTAACCACATATTTTATGGGTCATTTGGCTTGGATACAAAAATTTTATTTATCTCAAGCGTTCGAGAATAATATGGGAATGTAACTTTAGATATTCTAATTCTTTACAAGGACACACACGTCGCAAAAAAGAATCCATCTTAGATCGTCTATCACAGACATCCCTTGGGGCGCTAGTATCCAACAACCATTCTCCAGAGTTACCATTAAGGCTAACCTCTGTCATCACCTAAGCGATTATTATTGTCAAATCCTCTTCTTTAATCAAGTTAACACAATACTATGTTAAACTTGCTCTAACACTTTCGTGTCATATGACCTAGTTTTTCTCAAATTTAATTGAGAAACATAGCGTCATTCTTAGAGAATTGTGTGACAATCTTATGGTTACCACGATGGGTACCATTCTAATTGGTGTGGATCTGGTTCAGCTTGCTGCTCTCATTCTTGAAACTTTAATGTTTCACAGCAACCTAAGTGGTTCGTGTAGTACTGATAATAGTACTTCTTATAATATCGTTATTATGGGCAATAAACCCATTCTATTCCCATATATTCTTCACATATATGCATGCATTTAAACAAAATCATTATACTCCACAACATGTATTCAAATTCTAATCATCGAGGTAATACACCTCAATGTCAACATATACATGCATCAATCTAGCTTACATTTTAGCATTCACCTTATATGACACAACTTTCAATTTATCATTCATTAATGATCCACGAACTAGCTTTCAATTCTTACCTCTTTTCAAGAAGTCATTGTATTCTGAATTCACTGCAAATAGCTAGGCACCACGCATAGCTTCCCTTGATCCCTCTATTTCATATTGAGACGACGGCTGTATACTCAACTTTTCCTTGCCGCAAAGAGGACCAGCCACTGCCATACCCTTCAATCATAGGGCTCGAATGGTTAGGGCTAGAAATTTCACCACCCAAGCTCATGACAAATAAGCTTCCATTAAATTGAGATTCTCAATTTTCTTCCTTCTCGGCAATTAGCTTGTCCAAAAGGACCCAAAATTGGAGAGAATTAATTCCCCCTTTTACAAGCGGACCAAGGAAGAATTTAATTGGGAGGCATTCCACTGTTCTATCTTCCCTCTGATTCTTTATCGTTGGAACATAAGGAATTGGTGCAGGGCAGATATACGGTTGGGATCCGCCAGCCGGACAGTGACACGAGAGATTCCCAGGCGCCCCCAAGGCCGCCGCCGCTTTGCCGCACAATACCTCCTACGCGCCGCGCCGCTCGCACAGCACTCTTCTTTGGCCTTTCTATAGTAGATATCCCGCTTATCCCTGGAAGCTTTCCCCATGATTTACAAATCCTTAACAACTTTGCCGGAGACAAAAGCAAACTCCTGCGAGGACAACCACCAGGAGCTGCGGAAGCAGTTGCCCATCGCAAGTTTCGGACCGACATCAACAGTTAAGTCGATGATCATCTGGTTGCTCCTTCGTCCCTTTCTCCTCATGTCCTTGCGGATTGTTAAGACCAGATCCGGTATTCTGTTCGGTACATACAACAGCGACGAACGTCTTAAAATTGTTAGAAATCGAACAGGAAAAATTAGGGTTACCGAATCTAGCTGAGTCGCGGACTAGGTCGCTCTCTTTAAGACGTTCGCGGCACTGCCTTCGTTGCGCACGGCAGACTATCAGCCGGTCGCATCCAGGATAAAACAGCCACTCATTAAATTTGCTTAGCGGTTTTGTGCGGAAACCGGAGCTCTCTGAATTTCACTCTCTCTCGTGTTTCTGCTCTCTGAGGTGTGTTTAGAGGGTCTAGGGGTCTGCTATTTATAGGAGCAGAAAACCTAGAATATTCCCTCTTTCTTTGG